AATTTTTATAAATAAATCTTCTTTTGTTCAACATCAACCCTATTTAATTTCTGGGGCATGCAATTACTGAGATATTTACATTTTAAATGCCAATTTTTGGGGACAACATATATATGGAAAAAAAGAAAACTTCAATTTAAACTGAAGCCAGCAGGAAATAGTTTAATATGAAATGTTTCTATTGTTGTTTTGATAAACTAGAAGCATTGTCATTCTCCATTGTTAGATTATAAATCATAGGACAAGTTTCTTTACAGTTTATTATTTTTCTACCTTTACCATTACTTGAAATTATAAACAAAGTTGTTTTGATATACTATTTTATTTTAAGTGAGACACAAAATAATTATTGACTATTTTTCTTACCCGGAAACAAGACCAAATTCTTGATTATTTGTTATTCGAATACAATCCATTGAGTACATAGTAATCGATAGTGTTGCTGTTAGTTAAACTGAACCATCGTCAATATGATTCAATTTAGTTAAGAAATCTTGCCAAGTATGCAATCGATAAAGACCACTTGAATTAAACTGAACTGTCCAGATTTGAATCAATATTGTTCTGTTTAATTAAACAACATTATCAAGTGCGGAATGAGTAAGTCCAATATCGCTAAACAATATCGTCATTTAGGAAATCGACAGGTTTCAATTCAGTTAAAAATAATAATGTCTTAAACAAAAAAAAACTTTTTAACGTTGGTAATTGTATTTTAACGAGAAATTAGACACACAAGACCGATCCACTGAGCATAGATTATAATAGATGTGGGAAAGATTTCTATTCACATAAAATCTTGAGTTAAGTGACATGCTATCATTAATCTCTATCTATAAAAGGCAGGATGTGTGTGTGTGTGTGTGTGTGTAACGAATTCACGGCCGCAATTTTGGACGGATTTGCACCAAAATTTACATGCACATGCTCCAAGTTAGCGGAAAGGCCATGACCGACTTTACTTTTCCCAACTCCCATCGATAGTGGAAATAATCGATTTTTCATGCTTCTACGGCACTTTTCATGTAGTTTGCGGCCATTTTTTTACTGGCCAGAGTGAGAGCTTATAGTTCGATGCCACGATTAGGCGGGAAGATTTTATTGGCCAGCGTGATAGCCAACAGCTGACTGACAGGATTGTTAAGTAGCATGCTAGCATGCAAAAAAAATCGATAGCTGCATTCGTCACAAGTGGGAAAAATTTAAATCTGCATGGCACTCCAATTGGCTCATTCGCTTGCTTAAACTCAACGTTGATTCTGATTCCGCAGAATTACGTTGGGTGTGAAAAAGTATTTGTTGTAAACATTCTTTTTTCATTCGGTTTTTCCTGTTACGAGTCCTTTTTTAAAGCTGATCGTTTTGTGTTCATTTTGTTTAGTTCGTTTTCGTAACAGATTTAATGTTTAGTATAGAGCTTAGAAAAAATTCGCAGTGTGAGATAGGCAAGAAGTAAGGCTTCTAGCAACATCAGCACGGAAAAGATCACTCCTTTAAAGGCAAGGAAGGGCAAAAATATTTTAAGTCAAGTGATAACGATTGCTGTATGTGTCGTACGATTTTTGAATCAAACACGGCCAACGGCAGGCCATGCTGCTAGTGTCAATATAATCATACGAATATGAGTCGTAAAAATTAGGCATTTAGTGACAGGGCCGACATTGCTTCAGTCCATTGTCATTTCTAGCTTCTGATTAGGAAAAATTGGTTTCTCCAGGCATGTTACTTCTCTTTCCAGTATTAAGTGGAGTTCCGTTCCTTCTCTTTTCATTGAGGTAGTATAGAACGTCTGTAGCTCTATTAGGTCATTATTCTCTCATTAAATTATGTTGAGCTGTCCGTGTTGTTGCTGCAGTTGAATGAGCTAAAGCGATGTTTTTACTATTATATGTTATCGCTCATGATTCTGTGCAGACAGTATATTAAGTCCGAAGTAATATAGTCCTTCCTGTGACGTATAGGTTTCTTTCACTGAAAGACATTTTTATCCATTGATCTGGGAAAACGATTGCATACAGAAAAGTTTAGAGATAACAGAACGTATTTGGCGCCATATATGATAGGTATAGGAAAGTCGTTCTAATGTGACTATTTAAGGAGTTTACACAAGTTTTGGTTTTGAATCACTATGCTCTGTGGGTCGAAACTCATTCTAGCACAGCATGTGTTATGTTATACAATACCGAATGTATTATAAGTGATCTATTCAGCGTGCTACTTGAAGTGGTTGATAATTACTAAAGGAGCGTTCGGTAGGCAAGGTCGAATTTACTGCTTATAAACTTCAACGCTCCTTTGTAGCCAAGACGGTAAGGCACGTCAGCGTAAATGACGGTTCCGTATAGTATGCAGGTTCGAATCCTGTCAAAGGACGACTATTTTCTATGAAAATTTCTCGGATATTCAGGCCGGTAAATGTTATTTAATACTGTTTATTATAACATTTACATTAGTCGGACTATTGTCCTCATCTTTGTCGCCATATTTGTCACAACGTTTCGGCCGTTGTACGCTCCGGCCTTCTTCAGGTGGTTGGAATTTCGAACTGAACCCTTTATTTCGATCACTGGGGTGGACTGTTCTAATTCCACGTGCCATGTTTTGATGGATGTCAGTTATCAGTTATCTCCTGCAAAAATTGCAATATGAGCACTGGTAAAAATGATGCTGAAAACATTAGGTTTATAATACTCAGAAGTTCATACCCAGATGTCCTCAAGGACACATGGCACAGTGAATAAAGGCGTTGGTTATATCCAGTGACAGACCCAAAGAAGGTGAGTTCAATTCCTGGTTAAGGCAGTGGAGAAAATTAGCAGGGAAAATTAGCAGGAGATAACTGATAACTGACATCCATCAAAACATGGCACGTGGAATTAGAACAGTCTACCCCAGTGATCGAAATAAACAACCACCTGAAGAAGGCCGGAGCGTACAACGGCCGAAACGTTGTGACAAATATGGCGACAAAGATGAGGACAATAGTCCGACTAATGTAAATACTGTACATAATACCTCATCTCAGAAATATAGACAAACTCTGTTTATTATAAATACTATTATATTATTATTACTTAAATACTTGTATCTATAAAAAAGAACGTTAAACATAAAAATGTCTTTAACAAATATATATTTAACTAAGTTTTTGTGGTACAGAATTAAATAATAGCTAGGAAAAGAGAAACAGTGATACAAAAATCATTTTTTTTTTTTTATAAAAGAAAAAGCTAAAATAAAAACAACCGGTTTCGTCCCAGAACTTATCAAGTTTATTTTTCTGGGATTAGAAAATTTATAAAATCCTGTAAATTAAATTAACGAATGGAATGGAAGAGATTAAAAAAAATGAATTTCAAGAAACTAGAGTCCAATAACATTCAGACCTATTAGGCATTCCCTCTGTTTACAAAGGGAAGTGCCACGAGATCTGATATACAAGGCCTCTAGTAGCTTGAGGTAGATAAAATCAAACAACGGTCCGCACTAAAATTAACCACACATTTCTTACTATTTATTATATGCAGCATATATATATATATATATATATATATATATATATATATATATATATATATATATATATATATATATAATATATATTGTTTTAAATCAGACATATTTATAATTTACCGTAATTCAAAGTGTATAATATGCACAATTTACAAAAATATAATAATCAAAATTATGTGTACGTATTCCTCACAATAATTTTAAAAAATGCCATTTCATAGGTCGATTTCAGTTGATTTCAGTTGAAGTATTTTGTAATACAGTTTGATTTCTTTAAGAAATTGTAGAATCTGATACGGACTAATGTTATGAAAAGGTTCTTTTATGTCAGTTGATTTTGTTTAGCGACATATCAAACCTCTGGGTTATTTAATGCCTAAATCTAAACACTTTGCTCGTTTGAATTTGAATGCTTTTAGCTACTGGTTTCGAACATAATTTTATACGTTCAGATATATATTTTTAGTTATATATTTTGTAGATTACAGACGCTTGTTCAGCCTGATTTGTGTCTATTTATCACCCACAAAGCCCAGCTATGGTTTATACAGCAACTATGCTGAGCAGACTTTAGTTACAGTTTCTAACGTGATCAACAATTTGAAAAAGGCCAGCACGATCAAGCCTTCGGCCATGATGAAATATGACTTCGTGCTAGGACAGCTATCGATCGAACCCAGGGGTTCCGTCTACCCAATTTCACTCACACGGCTTGAATCAACCCGTGCTATGGTTTTCAGTCACTTACCAAAGGTGCCACACGCTGGGATTGACTTCGATCCATTCAGATAATATCAAGAAGTCTCAAATCTGACAAATCGACCATGGTGAGATTTGAATCAAAGTCTCCTGGTCAGATGCAAAAGTTCTAACCACTCGGCCAGGGTGCGTATTGTTGGTAATCTCACTATAAAAAGATTATTATATAGTTGCCTTGATTTTCATTTTGCCATAAAAAATAGATTGTTGGTCATTTTATTACAAAAATATACTGTTAATTTTTGTTCGGGTGTTCAATATTTACCCATAGTTGGGAACGAAACAGGGTGCTACCACCCAGGGTCAATGAGGACACGGGAACAAAAGCAATCAAGAAGTATTTCCACGCAAGCCGTGGTTGCACGATGCCAGATATGGCAGGAGTACCCTATATAATGTGTCCTTGTGTGTGTAAATAACCTGTATTACAATAATATGTATTAATAAAATAATGTATTGTCATTTGCTAAGAACATGGTAGATTTTTCCTAATTTACAAGCGAATTACGAAGTATCCTATTAGCTAAAGCAAACCTACTTGTAAACATTGAAATGTCGAGCAGAATAATTCAATTTCATGTCAGCGGGTGACAAGGTTTTCAAACGATAATCAGTTCGAAAGAGGGTCATTATTCCTCGTCAACCTCTGACATTTATATCGAACACGATTGGAGTAATGAAAAAGAAATAATTAAAATGAACGCCATAAGACGGTCTGTTGAGTGTTTATGTCCATCCGAGTAGCTGTTTATTTACATTTATTAGTGATAATAAGTTCGAAATTGTCGTTAACGTAAGGAGAGCAGGCTGTTACTTGTCAAACTTTCGATCTGTTTTCTTCGAATTATTTATCATTATATACAGAGTGCGATAGATAAATTGTCAACTAAATGACGCAAAAATAAAAATAACACTGACATCACACTTTACTAGATATATGTACCAAAATTAAATAAAAATATTTTGAAACACGAATGCTGGCATAATCGTTACTTTCAGTTCATCATTGGTGGTACAATGAGTTTTGTTTGCCGCTCGCTCAACTGCGCGCCATACAAAATAATCAAGGAAGTTGCCGACTCGGGAGGCAGTAAACTAGATGTAAGGGGTGATGTCGTTTCAGAAATTGTCTGAAAGCAATTTCTGATTTCTCCTGCTTGTGTGGCAGGGTGCAGAGTTCTGTTGATAGGCATAAAGACTTCCAGCAGGGCGTTTCTTGACACGGAAGTACTAACTTTTTAAAACATTTTATGTTGGTCTCCATGTTAAATGTGACACCATGTGGGAAGATGCATGGAGGCGTAATATCGCCATCACTTGTAATCACTTCAAAGACCATAAAGCTGATTGATCTGAAACGTTCGTATTTGAGATTCCGGCGCGAATACGGAGCAGCACAATAAGCGGTTTCCAAATTTCTGGCAGAGTGAATTCCGTCACGGAACTCTTTTCTCACAGACGGTGCTCAATTGAAGTACTATCCTATGCAGTAGACAAAAGAAAAAAGAAACAATGCGCATGCGCGGAATTTAAAATATAAAATGGCGATATCGCACATTGTATATACAATTGATTTTCTATTATTTCTGTCTTTAAAATCTGTATACAACAGTATATTCCTTATCTCTTTCTATCTATCTATTTATCTATCTATCTATTTATCTAAGTATCTATCATTTTCTATACTTACATTCATGGTTCTGCAACCATTTGTCGCGTGCGTAACTTATATAATAGCACATAATGACTGCTAATTCTTACAACGGATATAAAAAGTGATATTATGCGTGATGGCAACAAGAGGTCCATATTGTGTTTTTAAGGGATTTGGATAAAATATTGGCTTTTTGGAGGGAGTTCGGGCAATGAAGTATGTGGATTGGCCCAAGTTGTTGAGAGGGCGAGTGTGTTGATGGTTCCATGTAGACATGGACGTAGATATCAATTTACTTTTTTATGATATATATTTTTAATTTTCGTTTCCCTATATTTCTATAAAAATTGGACACCTTTATCTTGCTGGTAGTCTGTAAAAATGGCAGTGTTACGTTGAACAGTTCATGATTGAACCAGATGATTGCTATATACATAAACCTTCATCGAGGAGTGAGGAAAAAATATAATTATTTTTCTTACACACACACACACACACACACACACACACACACATATATATATATATACATATATATATATATATATATATATATATATATATATATATATATATATATTTACGAACCCTCATATAATTTTATACTAAAATCAACACTAAATTTTATATTGTAAAAGTGCTCTGAATGAGGAGACAGAATTTTCGGAAAGTATGAAAATATAAAAGAAGTAATGTGAAAGTGAAAATTAACGCCCCTTGATCAAACTTCCATAGATCCGAGCAAGTTTATGTATTCTATGGAATGTACATTTGGCTACCTGCTAGGGTGATGATTGGACCGGATAATATCCATACATTACAGCAACCTTGAACTCTCTGAAATACGGGAGAAAAAGAAAAATGATCAGTGACTTCTTTTCGCGCACGCATGTAAAAATCCATATTTGGAAGTCATTGATCAAGTGCCAAGATGAAGGGGCGAAATTAAAACCGCCAACCAGTCAGCCACCCGTAAGAATTCAAACTGAATGGACGTCCAGCTAAATTTGCTATGATCTGCTATAAATTTGGATGTGCGCACTTGATAGATATCCATTAAGTTTTCTGAGCTGAAAAGATTCAATAATGTGTTGATTCAAAGAAATCAAACTCCGGTATGCTAAAAGAAGCAGATACGACGAAACAAAGAAAGATTATCCTGAGATCCAAGAAAAAGAAAGATCCAACTTATTCTTCACTCAATCCATGGACAACACACACAAAATGAAAAGAAAGGAACTAAAAAAGAAATCTATCTATCTATCTATCTATCTATCTATCTATCTATCTGTATATATATATATATATATATATATATATATATATATATATATATATATATATATATATATATATCTTCATTTAAACAGGTTTTGTATAATTTTAATCGACAAGATCTGGCCGTTATTCTTTTCCACTAAGATATTGTAAAAAGTCGCTGTTCTTGGAGAAGAAAGTGTCTGGAGTGATATTTATTTCTTACATGTTGAACAGGTAGGAAATAAGGATGATTTGACTTCTTGGCTATATTATGGCGAGTCGGAGAATTAAAACACTGAAATCGTAACGAAAACAGTGTGCACCGCTAACAAGACAAGTATGTAGGTGGATACAGAAGAAATAATAATAAACAAAACACGTAATATTTTATATAGAATTCATATCAGCAAGCATATACAAGCAAAAGTAGCCAGGAAATAATAACTCCAGATTATAATACTTACAGTGCATCTTGAGAACAAACTTATCAAGAAGAAACAGCTTGTATTTTGGGCAGTAGTGGAGTTTATCTTTTGTTTTCATCATAGATCCGTATCCCTTTGTGTAAAGATTGAAAAAAGTCAGATAATTTTGTATAAAATAATATCCGCACACGCACACTCACGCAATCGCACAATAGCAAAATTGTTCAATTGTTAAATTAAATTTGAACCGTTGTAATTTGAAAATGATTGAACATATCTTACTGTGAATTCCCCGAGGTTTTATAACACAATCGCTCTCTTCTTTGAACAATAAGAATGCATTTATCACTATCATGAAATGGTGATCCATCTTCCGGTTGTGTCCTCATTATCCAGTTTTTCTCACTACTGTTCTCTCTTTTTTAAACTTATTCACCGTTCCCTTGAATGTTCTTGAATGGTATTTGAAGATGGAAGACAGAATATGCGTCTTGATATTATTACTAACGGTCTGAATGATCTTTTACCTCTCACCCTTTCTCAGATGAGATGCCATAATGGAGCTGACCTTAAACAATTTTAAACTCTTCTATTTCTAGCTGAAAAACTCAAAGGGTTTTTCTGTGATTATTCTAACAAATGGTGTCACGATGGCTAAACGTGTTATCTGAATACTTGGCAAAAGCAAACACAGTTAGTTTTGTGGATTTTTTAGATATTAAACGTTTTACAGAATGGGCAATTATCACTGAATATTAGACAATTATATATATATATATATATATATATATATATATATATATATATATATATATATATATATATATATAGATATATGCATGATATGTTACAATGATTGCACAATTCGGATTTTCATACGTTCTGCATTCTTCAGATGCAATTTTTGGAGTGAACTCCGCTTCCATAATATTTCTGTTTCTCACGAGTATTTTATTGAAGGGGGAGGATTATTATAGTTGCTAAAATATTTAAATGAACTCTAGGTTTCTTATGGATTTGAATTTAAACCTAGATTAGCATTTAAGACTGAAAATAATGTTGGAAATAAGAATTATAAAATCTAATTTGAAGTGGCATTGTAGTAACAGAAAGAAAAAAATGTTTGAAACTAAAAGGGGGCAACTCCATTTTATGTATGAAAATCAATAAAGTAATTAATTGTTGAATTGATACAATTAATACATCGATTCTGTTTCAGTTCATGTGACATTCTCGTTATTTACGTAACTATCGAGGGAAAGAGATCCACTTCGAAACTGCCTGCTGATTTCTGATTGGTCCATGATCAGTACCCTCATAACCTGGTTGGCAACATATCATGTTTCTTATTCAATCGCTAGATTAGGATGTACGTACCATTGTCGGGACCGTTACTGATTACTTGGTCGAAATATGACTTCATGACATAGATATTCTAAAAGATTATTTTGTTTAGCGATATATCAACCTCCATGGATTATTTAATAACAAAGTCTCAATATTTGTAAATAATTTTATAATTTCAAAATTAAGGTATCTTTTATATATATATATATATATATATATATATATATATATATATATATATATATATATATATAAAAAATAATCACAAATAGAATAAATCAGTATATATATTTTTTAAATGCAAGTACTGACGATGAATAAAGGATTATTCGAAAGTACTTTCATTTTAAAAAAATATAAACTGGAAACAACAGACAACAGATTTATAGATGAGGATCACGTCCCTCCATGGATTAACAGTATTTTAATGCATACATTATACACTACTAACGATGGATGCCAGCCACCAATAATACCATTAATATTACTGATTGATTCTATGTGTGATTATTTCTTTGTATATAAATTATATGCTGCCTAATGTTTTATGTTTATATATATATATATATATATATATATATATATATATATATATATATATATATATATATATATATATATATATATATATATATATATATATATATATATATTAGATCATAAAATATATTGTTAGTAATTTTACGGTAAAAATTTTATTTTTTTTTTTTTCATTTGGCTGTAATAATATATTGTTGGTTACTTTATCATAATAAATGTACAGTTGACTTTTGTTTTTGGAGAGAGTAGTATTTTCTCATAGCTAGGGCCATAACAGGTGCTGCTACCGAGTGTCTAGGTGGATCTGGGAACAACGGTTTTACGCTATTCAAACCTCAGATTTTCATATCAGAGGCCTTGCTGCCGGATGTAGTTTATCGTCAAATTATTATTTATTTGTCTATTAATACAGTGATGAACGAATCGATGTTTTTGTGAATTAATGGTATAAGGCAAATAAATAGGGATTGTAAATGAGGAAATATTTCTTAAAGAAAAAAAGGAAAGTGTGGAGAGACGTGACGTTTCGCCGAAGAAAACTTATAGCGTTAAAGATAAGTCCTTGCTCGGAGAAATATGGTATTTGTTCTCGATTTTTTACGCGTCGGATCAAACGTCACAGAAATGTTATTGAAGAGAGTGTTTTTCTTAGCGTAGCTCAGAGGTGGAACAATGTATGGAGCCCCCAGTGAGGATCGAGCTCACTACTCACTCGTATATATTCTATCAAGACAAGCTTGCTAACCATTAAAGCACGAAAGGTACCCAACGTTATCGTAGATTGTCTTGCGACATGAAATAAAGAAAGCCTATCGGAGCCGAATGATTTTAAAGACAAGACAGACCGCATTTACAACAGCACTTTCTCTTTCCAAACAAAAATCCGAATGAAGACGGATCTGTCAACTAGTGACCACTGAATTACATTTTATTTTTATTTCTAATCACGTGACATGACAATCACTGACTCAGATAAAAAAAAAAAATCAATATTGGTTGTCTTATTCGATCGTTGGATTAGGATGTACGTACCATGGTCGGGACTGTTGCTGATTGGTTGGATGAAATATGACATCATGGCATAGCTATTCTGATATGAACCTCTATGGTTATTTAAGTAACCTCAAACTTTTTGCATGCAATGGAGTGTGGAATAGAAAATATATATTGAGTGGGTTTAAGAATACTTTGAAAGTATTTTCTTTAAATTTTCTTTGAACTTAAAAATTATTCATATTTAACTTAATTTGAGGAATAAGTAATGATTACCCATGATGCAAGTCGCATCATAAAAAACGAGCCTTTTCGATAACATTCATTCAACAATATGAACGATATTTTGCGTATAGGTATGAATATTGTTTAAGGAGATGAAAATTCAGTGTTAAATTCAGTATAAAATAAAAAATGCATGTTAATAATTCTACAATTCATCCGTGCATTTAATTTTGCTACGATATCTTATTTGCTGTTTCGGATATATCTCCAGATATATCAAATCTAAAGAAGGATCTGTGAAGTTATCAATCTTGACCTGGCATCTCGTATTCAGTCAAATTGTCATGGGCCTAACGTAGCTTCCATCTGTTCTTTTTCTTATTTTAATGTTCTGGTGATATTTTGTTCTGATGAATTTACATGTAGTAATAGTCTGGAACAAACGATTCATCATGTTCCTGTTGAAACACCTAAATGCCATCGCAAGATTTATTATAACAGATTATTTTCTCGCATTCCTCGCTCGTTGCAGTCACTTCCGGTTTGTTGGTTTCCCGTGTACTACGATTAACAAAGGTTTAAATGCAGCATCAAACGTCAAAGTGTGCCTTCCTGAAACCAGTTCTTTTATTGTCATATATCTTCATTAGCGTTTTCTCATCCTCTTTCATTCTTATTAACCCTTTCGGTACAGTGAAAGTATCGCATTGCTTGCGGTGAAACAATTAACCATTTGTGTACAAATCTCATTCTTAATGAGAAAGTGTCCTCTTCTTTTAATTGCATAGCAATTTATTTCATAATTTAACTAAAAACATTCTATACCAATCATAGCGAACATGAAAAAAGAAAGGAGCTTATGTTATTTGAATTGGTGTAAGCTCGGTCATATTGCTTCTTAAACAGCGGCCATCATTAACAAAGCATTGGGTAACTTATCCACTTGTGATCGGACTGTGTGGAGATCGTCTCTGAAGATTCACAGTGGTGATAAGAGACTTGAAGATCAAGGTGGGTGTAAATGTATATCTACAAATGGGAATCAACCTCTATAAAAACCAGTTGAACAAAACCCACATCAAAGTGTGTGAGAACTGCCTCAGATAACGGGGTTCAGAATTTAAACAATATCTGTTCCCCTCAAGTAAACTGACAAGGAAAAGAACCTCGATAAACTGGTTCAACATGAACTCCGTGAAAGTCAAAGAGTTCAACGTTTTTAAGTATCTTCGATGCTGTATCTGCGAAGTCAGATAAATATATTTCTCTGCCAATAGTTGCTTGTGATGTTTTATATCAATTGTAAACAGTCAGCTCAATAATGCAAAGGTTGATGTTCCTTTCAAGATTCACGTGAATTCGATTCAATAACTCCACCTCGCCGTAAATTAGAGTACATTCATTTTCTTATTCATTTAATCAAGTGTTTTCCATCTGTGATTTTAATTGAGTACACCTCCTTTTACATAGCCCAGATAAATAAGTTAATCCTTTCTTTTT